AATATTATTTTTTTTCTGTCTGTCTATTATTTTTTTTTTTTTTTTACTCACTGAATTATATTGGCAACAAATTTATGTAATAACTTAACAAGTTTATTACATGTGTGAATATATATTTTGAAAAAACATTTTTACAAAAATGATTCAAGCTTATAGGCACATTTTTAGACAGTATTTTTTTTTTTTATAATATTATTAATTAAATTAAATTAATATTAATATTAATATTGATATTAATTTTAATATTAATTAGTGTTATTATTGGCTCATCGTCGTAAATGTCAAACTGTTGAAGAGCCACTTTTGAATGAAAAGCAAGACGAAGAAGAAGTAGATCATAGATCGAAACTACTTGACTCAGAAACTAAAGACGATAGTGACTAAAAAAAGTATTTGCTATAACAATAATAATAATAATTTTTTAAATTATTATTATTTTTTCTTTTTTGAATTATTTAATAAAAAATTGACGTGGAGGCTAATTTCGCGTTTCGACAATTACAATTAATCATTAATTAAATTCATGAAAAAAAATGAATAAATATAAACTCATATATAAAGATATATTGAAATAAAGCATGATAAAAAATTAAGAAATAAAATATTCGAAGTAATAAGATGATGATCAGCGAGGAATTGTGCAATTAGGTTGTCACAGTATATACGACTGAAGAAATAATAACTAAATTAATATATGCATATCTGATGTGATTCACAAATTTAAATTATTTATAATAATAACAATAATTATTAATTAAAAGCACTTGGTTAAATAATTTAATCTTTCTCGATTGCAATGTACAAATTATCCTTCATATTATAAATATGTGTAGATATTTTTATGGACTTCCAAAATGGCGATAATTAACAGAGTAGAAAGAAAAAAATATTTAAATTGAATATTTATATTTATTTACTGAATTATAATTACTATTACAATTATTTTGGTTAATAATAGCGTAAGGTAGTTTTATAATAAAAATAAAAAAAAAAATAAATTGAAATATTTTATTAACTTTTAAAACAATTAGATATCAGATAAAATTTTTTTATTTAGTTATAATTATAAATAATAAATAAATAAAAAAAAAAAAAAGTAATTAAAAAAAAAAATAAAATCATTCCATAAAAACATTCTTATGATCAATTATAAAAATGAAAAAATAATAATAATAATATGAAAACCACGGACGCTAAAGCTAAAGCTTTAATGCACGGCATGAAAGCCAAATTTAAAGTTAAATTTATGTATAATTAAATTAGTTGTACTACTATTAATAATAATAACAATAATAATAATAATAATTAAACAGTTAATGATAAAATAATAAATAACTAATTATAAATGAATATTATTTCCAAACTAAGAAATTTTTTTTTGTAAATACACAAATATCGTTATGATAATCATAATAATAATAATTATTATTATAATAATAATATTAATCATAATAATAATTAATGTTAAAGGTGTGCGTGTTTTTATTTTGAATACGTCTGTGATGAGTACCAGTGTGGATAATTATAATTTCACTGATGAAAAAAAAAAAAATAAATAAAAAAAGAACAAGTGTTAATTATCTGCTGGTAATTACAATTACTAATTGTACACTTATTTCTTTCTTTATATACATATAAATAATAAATAAAAATATAAATATTATAAAAAAATTAAAACTGGTTAAAATAATAACGTTGTAAATAGTTAATAGTTTTTAAGACGAACAATTAAGTAATTAAACTTAGATATATATTTTAGTGTAATAAGTACATACTAGGTACATTAGATATAGAAAGTTTTAAAAAACAGGTAGAAAATAAATAAAAAAAAAATGTTTAAATAAAATAAAAAAATTGACGAACTGACTAGGGAACTTTCAGATACGTTCTCTTTACGAATGGATTAAAATTATTAATTAATTAATTAATATTATTATTTAATAAATAACTAAAATAATAATGATAATTATTTGCTGATAATAAATTACATTAACTGTCAATAACTACGAATAAATGTGAATTTTTATTTTATTTTATTGTCATTGATTTTAAAATATCCATTATCACTCTCAATTATTACGCACTTAACATTCACATTTACCTTTTTTATACAGCCTAATTTTATATTTGCATTACTTTTTATTTATATATAAAAAAAAATGTGGACTGCGCCCTGTTATGCTTTTTTTTATGAGAATTAAATTAGCCGATATTTGAGAATATTTAATTATTTTTTCTTATTAAAAAATTTCATTTTAAAAATTTTTTATAATTTTTTTAAATTATTTTTTTTTATTGTAATTTAATTGATGAAAAAAATAAAAAAATTTTGAACATCGGCTCATTTTTATGGAAATAAAGTTAGCTGACATTTAATTATTTTTAGAATTTTTTTAATTAAAAAAATAAAAAAAAATTTCATTTGTAGAAAACTTTGAGTGCATTTTTTAAAAATATTTTTTTGATCCAATTAAATGGAAAAAATTAAAAAAATTAGAAACGTCGGCTAACTTTAGTATTATAAAAGGATGAAAATTAAGTAAGCCGAGATTTAAAAATTTTTGGAATTTTTTTTTATTAAAAAAATAAGAAAAAAAAATGTCATTTGTAAAAAACTTAAAAAACTTGAAGTGCAATTTTTAAAAAATATTTTTTTGGTGTAATTTAATTAGTAAAAAAAAATTAAAAATGACGGCTAACTTTAGTGTCATAAAATGATTAAAATTAAGTTAGCCGACATTTAAAAATTCTTAAGATTTTTTTTCATTAAAAAAATAAAAAAAGATTTTCATTTGTAAAAAACTTTAGTATTATTAAAGTTAGCCGACTTTTTAAATTTTTTTTTTTAATAATTAGAACAAAAATTATTTTTTTAAAAATTGCACTTACAGTTTAGCTAATTTTAATAATACTAAAGTGAACCGACGTTTTGAATTTTTTTGCATTTATTAAATTAGACCAAAAAAATATTTTCTTAAAATTGCACTTGAAGTTTTTCAAATTTTTTACAAATATAAATTTTTTGAATAAAAAAAATTATAAAAATTTTCCAATATCGGCTAATTTAATTTTAATTAATTTTAACATCATTTTTTTCTTAATTTTAGAAATTACCAAACATTTGAAAATTAAAATTTTTATTAAAAAAAAATTTTTTTAAACAATTTAATTGTTTTAAAAATGTCAAAAAATTTACAGATGTTTGTTAATTTTATAATAATTTTATCCCTTAAAAAAAATAAATTTCAAATAATTATAATTATTTTAAATAAAAGAAAAATTCCAAAGTTTTATTGTAATAATTAAAAAAGAAAATATTGTTGATAAAACCAAGGGACCGGTGCCTTTTACTGCAGCTGTAAAATAATAACTAATTATTATTATTATTATTATTATTATTTAATTAGAATTTTCTTTATCCGTACCGTGTCTTATATTGCAATAATTGTTTAAATAAATAATTTGATCGTTCAATCGGAGTTTAATTGTCAAATGCCAAGTTTTAATTAATATAAAAATTTTTTATGCTTCCAAAACCGTGATCTAAGGTACTGCATCCGATTAATGAGTACTTAAGCTCTAATAATAAATTAAGAGAACGAATCTATCACTGCTATTGCTCCAAAATGACTAAAAAATAAATTTGAAAAAAATTAAATTAAATAAGACATAGACTAGACACGTAATTATATTGTTACAATTGTACCTATGCGATTATAAATTATAATTAATAAACAAAGCTTGGTCACGATCAGTTATTCAGTTGATCGTTAAAAAAGGCTGTATATTTAAAACTAAATATATTATAATAAATATGATAAATTAATTATAAAGTAATTAATGAGCTTATGTTGGCTCTCGTTGTAAAATAGACGGTCGGAATAAAGAAGCTGATTTAATGATAATTAACAATTTTACTGAAGTAAAAAGTAAATGTAATTCATTGGAAACGATATATTAAATAAATAAATAAATAAATAAATAAATGAGTGGATAAATATTAAATAGTGAGCGAGCGCATACCACGCCTACAGTAAACTCTACCGGTGTAGCATACACGATAATATTATTATCTAAACAATTTAATGTAAATTGTTATTTTTGTTGAAATAAATCACCACCGTTATTGACTAATTTGTTAATTTGTATTTTACCAGCCCTTCTTTAAGTTTAAATTTATTTTTTTTTATAGGGAGATATTTTTTTAATTCCATTTTATTATGTGCGCTATATATAAGTTTTTATGGAAATAATTTATGACAAGAGAAATTTTAGAAATTTTCTAGTAATCAGATTTTTATAAAAAAATTTAATAAAAAATAAAAAGGTCGCGATAAGCAGAACATCATGATGAGCTTATATCTTAATAAATATCAATAATTAAGAAATGACGTATTTGGGCTACTGATGATATTTTTAACGATATAAGCTCATCCTGAAGTTATACTTATCGAGACCTTTCATTTGAATACCCACATCAATTTTTTTATATATTTTATATATTCTACAAATATGAAAAATATCATATATATGAAAAATATATCAAAAATGCATGTGGGTACTCAAATGAAAGCTCTTGATGAGTCTAACATCAGGATGAGCTTATATCTTATAAAATCTCAATAAGTAAGAAATAACGTTACATTTTGTCTACTGATCATATTTTTTACGATATAAGCTCATCCTACAGTTACACTTATCGAGACCTTTCATTTGAATACCCACATCAATTTTTTTATATATTTTATATATTCTACAAATATGAGAAATATCATATATATGAAAAATATATCAAAAATGCATGTGGGTATTCAAATCAAAGCTAATGATGGGTGTAACATCAGGATGAGCTTATATCTTAAAAAATGTGAATAATAAAGCAATGATACTGTATTCTGTTCAATAATGATATTTTTAACGATATAAGCTCATCTTGGAGTTATACTCATCGAGACCTTTCATTTGAATACCCACATCAATTTTTCATATATTTATTTATATATATTATATATATGTATATATGAAAAATATATCAAAAATGCATGTCGATACTCAAATGAAAGGTCTTAATGAACATAACATGAGGATGAGCTTATATCTCGAAAAATGTCAATAACTAAAAAATTACGTTATATTTTGTTTATCGATATTTTTTACTTGTTAAAAAAATTATTTAAAATTTTCTTGAAGTAAAATACTTATTAGATTTTTTGGCATAAAAAAACTAATCTTTATTTAAAAAATCAATTCTATCAGATCTAGCTTGGATCATTCTCTCCCTCGCAGCTTTAAACTGCTCTAGCACACTATTAACAGTATTAAGTAAGCTCCCAGAGTTCAATCTCTCCTGAAATTTATATCCTCGATTTTTGGAACTGCTTTTACTTTGCTGAACAATATTAACTCTTAGACCAACAGTTCCGCTGGGCACAACCCTGAGTTGTTTTTTGTCCAAGGTCTTCCCTTCGTGATCCCGGGGTATTCCGCAGTAAGCAATGTCTTCCAGCTCAGCAGTTCCACCGGTGAAAAATCTTCTCAGAGCATTGATGACTCCGTAAACTGGTCTCCAAGTTTGTAACCTGAACTCGTAGGACCCAGAAGACGATGGTAGAGGTATTGATGTGTAGCCTTCTATCCGATACCTGAAAAAAAAAATTTCAATTTTCTTAACGGGAAGTTAAAAATTTTTTTCTATATTCTTCTTTCTTGTTCTATTTTCTATATTAATTCATTGAAAATTACCTGGTCCAATTGTCCAGAGAACCGACGGAAATTAACAAATAAGGCCACGAGGGCACATCATTCATACAATTTAAATCAAGATCCAGTGTTATTTCAGCTACGTAACTAAAATGAGCTGATTTATTTATCATTTTACACCGTTGAGTTCTTCCATAGAGTCTTTCGCGATGATTCGTGCTCCAGAATTTTGGTAAATCGATTGTGTATGTAATAAATATCGAATTGTAATTGAAATTACGTGCTTCTATGAAATCTAATGTTAAAAATAAACGTAAAATATTTGCAGGTGGTAATTCGATATCTGAAATATTTTTATCTTGATAGTAAACTTTTGGTATTTCCTGGAACAAAAAAAAAACATAATCTATTAAATTATCTTTTATAATTAATAAAAAATATTAAATTAAATCATGAAAAAAATTTAATTAAAAAATTCCACATGTGAAAATTTAAAAAAAATTATTAGTAAAAATTTTTTAAAGCATTTTTTTTTATTATAATTTATTTTTTTTTAAATTAACAATTATCAGCTATTTTCAGTATCATATTAAATCCTCATAAAATTATTTTTTTATAAAATACTTTATAATTTGGAAATAAGTTGACAATTTTTTTTTATTTTTTTAACAAATCAATTACAATAAAAAAAAACGTATTAAAAAATTTTTCACGAATAATTTTTTTTTACTTTTAATTAAATTTTGTTAATAATAATTTAATTGCTAAAAAATTTCTAAACTTCCGTGTCATAATACTTATTAATTAATTTAAATATATAAAAATTTAAAAAGTATGATCATCACCTTGATAATGAAAAATAAATTTCTTCACTATCAGGTTTCTGGAGCATAAAATATCTCAAAAAAAAATCAGTGTACTAAATTTAACAATGACAACAATTATAAATAAACAGTAATTATAATAATAAATAACAGTAATTAGTAAACCACCAATATAATGACATTAAACTACAATGATAAGACACTGCATTGACTATCATTGTATAAAAACACTTACAACCGTAATCTCGTGATAGTGAATCCAATTGTTCTCACTTCTGGCTTAAAAACAAACCGAATAATCTCAATTAAAAAAAGCATAAAACTTCATTAACATTATAAAAAATAATTCTGTGAGACGAAAAGAAAATTTACTAATTTTCCGGAGTTAGCGCTCCAAGTCAAGTACAAGATCGGTCTCGGTCTCGGTCTTTTTATATAACACTCAATATCTCGCTTTCGCAATAACAATTTAGCGTCCGTCTTCTTCTTCAGATAATCAAACATTCTTTTACAACAAGTCACACGTGTGTCAGTGCTTGTATCAGTACGCTTAGAAGCTCATACCCGACCTGACGTGCTCAATTATTAATTATTAGTCAGTGATTTTATGTTTTTTTTTTTATAATTAGTCAAGATGATGCGACAAATATCTGAAATTTCGTATGTTGGGTGAGTAATTTAAAATTAATTTAAATTATTAATAAATAGCAACTTTGCAATTACTATGTGACTGCCATGACTTGTGAACAATAAATAAATGAAATTTTGCTTTATTAAATAATGACTTTTGTTAAATTGCACTGTACTTTCTTAAATATTGACAATTTTAAAGTTATAAGCTCATCCCGATGTGACACTTATCAAGAGCTTTCATTTGAGTACCCACATGCATTTTTGATATATTTTTCATATATAATATATATATATGATATATATAAATATATGAAAAATTGAAGTGAGTACTCAAATGAAAAATCTCGATGAGCGCAACATCGGGATGAGCTTAAATCATTAAAAATATCAATATTTCACAAAATAAAAGGTCATTTCTTAATGAACAACATTTTTAAAGACATAAGCTCATCCCAATGTTACACTGACCACATGGCAATTTTTACATATTTTATATATATGGTATTTGTGAAATATATAAATATATAAAATATATGAAAAATTGATGTGGGTACTCAAATGAACGGTCTTGATGAGTGTAACTCCAGGATGAGCTTATATCATTAAAAGTACCATTAGTTAACAAGATACAAGGTCATTTCTTAATTATTGATATTTTTAAAGATGTAAGCTCATCCCAATGTAACATTCATCAAGAGCTTTCATTTTAATACTCACATGCATTTTTGATATATTTTTCATATATACATATATATAATATGTATAAATATATGAAAAATTGATGTGGGTACTCAAATCAAAGGTCTCAATGAGTATAATATCGGAGTGAGCTTATATCTTTAAAAATGTCAATATTTCACAAGATATTTGATAAATTGCACTGTATTTTCTTAACTATTGACCTTTTTAAAGATATAAGCTCATCCTGATATTACACTCATCAAGAGCTTTCATTTGAGTACCCACATATATTTTCATATATTTTCCATATATACATATATATAATATATATAAATATATGAAAAATTCATGTGGGTACTCAAATGAAAGGTCTCGATGAGTGTAACTCCAAAATGAGCTTATATCTTTAAAAATGTCAATATTTCACAAGATAAAAGGTCATTTCTTAATTTTGTATCTAGAAATATAGTATTTTCGAATGCAGCCTAAATACTTTCAAAAAAAATATAAATAAAATACTTGCATTCAATAAATTACTAGTTGGATTATCAGTTTGCGGATCACAAACTGAAACATGCTCGATCCAGTATTCGTAATTCATTCCAATGCTCTCGATAATATAAGGCTCGGCGTTGTTAATGTCCGGGTCGATGCTCAAAACTTTGCCGGCTTTGTTATAAGTCAGCGTGCAGAGAAGAATTTCCGAAGTCTCGGGATCGGAAGAAACTTGCTCCCTGGATGACAAATCCACCATCACGTGCATAACTCTACAGTCCAGGTACAAATAGTGACTGGATCGAATCCTGGAATCAGTTGGGCTACTGTCGACCACTTGCTTGTTGTACCGTTCGTTAAACGGTTTGCGATTCTGGATCCCAGGCAGAGCCGAGGCATTTTTTTTTGATAAAAATGAGCTGTAATTACTGGAAGTGACCGCGGTTTTGTTCCGGCGGTATGAATCTTCAGCGGTGTAGGTGAACAGCCTGGACCCTTGGACATTCTCACTGGTGATCAGCTCGTGGTAGTCTTTCTGGAGCTGGCTCTTGCAGTTCTTTTCTTCGGTGTATAATTTCACCTCTGACGAGCTGAAAATCTTCTCTTGCCAGGTTATTGTCTTCTCTTCGGACTCGAGGTAGTTTGAATCGTGGATTTCTTCCTCAGAGTCAAACAGATCCACCAGAGGTGACTTCTGCTGGAGAATTTTTATTCTGAAACAGTTATTTTAGATGTTTATAAATTTTATTAAATTATAGTTCCACATGGCCGGTTCCTGGTAGTTCATTTTATTTGCTTAGTGTAAATATAAACAGTTACGTTTATAAGTTTTACTTTTATTCTGAGAGAAAAAAATTCATTTTTAAAAAAATTAGCAATGTTGTAAGAAGAAAAAAAATTGTTGAAAATTTTTTTGGCTGGAAAAATTAAAATTTATTTCACAGTAATTTTTTTGGTGAAAAAAAATTTTCTAAATTTGAAAAAAAAATTTTTAATGAAAATTAGCAAATTAAAAAATTTTTTTAACAAGAAAGTTACTGTGATAAAAATTTTTATTTTTTCAGCCAAGAAATATAAATATAATTGTTGAAAATTTTTAACAAATTAATTTCTTGTTATAGCAATGCCAGATTTTTTTTTTTAATTTTTTTTTCTCAGTGTATTAACATATTTTATTTTTAAGTTGTAATTTTTGATTTAGTAGAAAAAATGTTGCTTTTTGGTAGTTGGAATTTTTTATTTTCAACTCATGATAGGGAAGTCCTAATTACTTTAATTAATTTCATAGCAATAAAAGTAATTGATTTTTTTTATCGCTTAAATTCTAATTACGTATATGAGACAAATAGAACAAAAAAAATCTGATATTTCTTTAAAAGCCAAATTATCGAATATCTTTCAATTGCAGTAGTAGATTTAAAATTTTTATATTTTTCAATTTAAAAAAATAACTGTTTTTTTGATAATTGTTTGGTTTTGAAAATAACATATTTTCTAAAATCAATATTTGAAAATTTTTAACATTAATAAAAGCATTTTTTTTTATTAAAAAATTAAAATTTATGAGCTAAAAAATTTAATAGAATAAAAGTATTTAGGCTGCATTCGAGAATGCTCTATCTCTAGATACATAATTAAGAAATGACATAGTATCTTGTGAACTATTGAAATTTTTAAGGATATAAGCTCACCCTGACATTACACTCATCGAGACCTTTCATTTGAGTACCCACATCAATTTTTTATATATTTCATATATTTATATATGTTATATATATGTATATATGAAAAATATATCAAAAATGCATGTGGGTACTCAAATGAAAGCTTTTGATGAGTATAACATCGGGATGAGCTTATATTTGTAAAATATATGTTATATATATGGATATATGAAAAATATATCAAAAATGCATGTGGGTACTCAAATGAAAGCTCTTGATGAGTTTTACATCAGGAAGAGCTTATACATTTAAAAATGTTGAAATTTAAGAAAATATAGTGCAATATTGAAATATTAAATATTTAACAAAAGTCATTATCTAATAAACCAAAATTTTATTTATTTATAGCTCACAATTCTTGGCAGTCACATAGTGACTGCAGGTTGCTAGTTTTTATTAATGATCCTAAAGTTAATTGACATCGTTAATTTTTTTGATTATTATAACAATTAAATTACTCTAAAAATATTTGAGTAAAAAAATTTCACATATAGAAATTAAGAAGAAATAAGTGAATTTGTAAAAAATATTTGTTTTTTTTAATTGATTTTTTATAAAAATAAAAAAAATTGACAGTTGTCTCTTAACTTCAGTATCATTTACCAAACTATGGCCCACAAAACTAAACAATCATCACTTTCTTAATAAATTTTAATTATTCAAACAAAAATAATTCACTTTTTAACTTATAAAACACAACGAACTGTCAAATAAAATTTTTAGAGACACATTTCATCATTAAAAATAATAAAATAAACATCTGTAACTTCATAACAAAAAAAAAATTAATTTTTTTTCTATAAATAAAAATGAATCCTAGATAAAAAAAAAAAAAAAATTACTTTAATTTAAAATGATCAATCGGCTGGTTGACCCTGTACTCTCCAGCTATTTTTAATTTTCCAGAATTACGCGAAAACATTGTTAACTTCTACTTCTAACTACAATATATAACTACTTAATTGTTTCCTATGAACTCATTATTATGCGGCTGTTTTTTATCGGTTGCCTAGCAACCTCCCATGTGCTGCTTGACTTATTCCACAACAAATCTTAAACTATAAACAAAATAAATTTAATACATAAAACAAGTACATACATAAATAATAAATAATAATAAAGTAGCGCAATTGAACTTTACAACTTAAAGAAATAAAGTGAAAGGAAATAGGAAGAATGAAAATAAAAATAAAACATTAAATTCTTACCAATGACTGTTTGACAGCGAAAACATAAACATACTATACCTATACATGCAAAAGTATATATATATATATGTGTAAATATAGGACATATTTGTGTACATAGTTTGTAATTGTACCGGGAATTTCATAATGATTCACAAGTGATTAAAATTTTATAAAAAGCATCTTCTGTCATTTCTTCTTTGTGTTTTTTTTTAAAGTTAATTTTTTTTTTTTTTTTTGACAGTTTTAAATTAATTAATTTAATTTATAAAAAAAAAATCACCATAACCTGTGAGAAAAGCAAGCACATTCCTGTAGCTTGTGATAACGGTAAATTGTGAATTTATTTTTAAATAATTTGTTAAAATAAAATAAGGCCATTTATTAATTTGTTATCTTCTTGATAAAGTTTTGCTAATTTGAAAACTAAAGATAGAGTGTAAATTATTTTATTGTATTGATAACTTTGTTATCTGCATACATAGTTTACAATCTAAGTGCAAGTGTGTGTGAGTATTTGTGTAATTGTAAGATGACTTCTTACTTAGTCACCTGTTGGAGTTAAAGTTGACACCTGTCACTTGCTAGATTTTTTTAAATATTTTTACACGGACAATTTTTAACATTTAAATTAGTCTGAATTATTTTTTCAGTCAAATTTATTTTTAATGACAAATTTAGATATGAATTGTGGCTAAATTGTTTATTATTATGCCTGGAGGGAAATACAAGCTAAAAAATAATACGAATAAATAAAAATTGTTGTATTAAACTGGATAGCTAATTAATTTAAAATTGAAAAAAGTATTTTAATAAATAATTGTGATTAGTTATTAATTAATTGATAAAATTAAATTACTTTAGGGGATTCAAAGTTATAAAGATGGTGAACGAGCAGGACCGCGAAGGCCAAGTGATAATTCCTTTGCAGTACAATAACGCGGTAAGTTTTTTTTTTTTATGACACTGAAGTTAGCAGACGTCTAAAAATTTTTGATTTTTTTTATTAATTAAATTACAACTAAAAAAATATTTATAAAAAATTGCACTTATAGTTTTTTAAGTTTTTTACATGTGAAATTTTTTTTTTTTAATTGTTTAATTGAAATTTTTTCAATCAAAAATTTCTAAACATTTTAATGATATTTTGTGGTGTAATTAAAGGAGTTAATTTTTTATGTTGATTTTTTCCAGCACTGGAAAGGAATTTTTGAAAAGTACGACCTAGATGGTGATGGCAAAATCTCGTATCATGAATTGAAGGAAATGATAAGAGGATCTAGTTACAATGATGACATTCCTCCGAGAGTTGTTAGGATAATTATGCAAAAAGCTGATTTAAATGATTCTGGGTTTTTGGAGTACCCAGAGTTTATTGCTATGGTAAATGAAATTGTTATTAATTATTTATATATTTTCTCTGTATCTTGGATCGCCGCAAGGAGCTTTAACTCCATGGCCAATTAACAATAAAATAATAATAATAATAATAATTATTATTATTATTTAAAACTAAAAAAAAAAAATACTTTTGGATAAAAATTATACATGCAAAATATTTTTCAAAAATTTGTTTTTGTATTGAAAGAAGTCTTAGAAATTTATGATATGGCAAAAATATTGGTCCTATAAAAAAAGATATTTGAAAATTTTTTATATTTAAAAAAATTTTTTTGTGATAAATTTTTCAATAAGAAAAATTTAAAAAAATGTCAGATTTTGCTAACTTTATTTTAATTATTAAATCTGACGATTTTTTTTTTTTAAATCAAATAATTATAAAAAAAAAAACTCTAAAAAATTTCACCCTCAAAAATTAAAAAATAAGGTACAAGTATATTTAAAAAAAATTTTTTCTTGATAATAATAATAATAATAAGATTCATAAAAATATCCAAAAGTCTAAAAATTTAAGTTTCATAAAATTGTATTAAAAAAAAACTTTCAGATTCACAGAAAGGATATGCAAGGAGTATTTGGTCACTTTTTAAATCGTTATGTCCATAAAATGGTTCCCCAAAGACCAACATTGGAGACGCAGTACAGCGTGAGACCATCAGTGGACTTTCCAGACGGAATTTATGAAGAAGAGTACAGCTGTAGGCCTCCAGCAATTGCAATGATAATAATATCAATTATAGAAACGATATTATACCTGTATGATGTAATAGTCGACAAACCTCTAGAGGGACCAACGTCTACCCTGTTTATTTATGACCCTCATAGAAGATACGAGGCCTGGAGGTACCTGACATACATGTTTGTACATGCTGGGTAAGTTGAATTTAATTAAAAAATCTTTCTTTTCACATAATTTTTACCTACTTCATCATCTTTTTAAAAGAATATATAAAAGAAAAATACTGACTAATTATTTATAAGTAATGAAAATTGTAGTGAGTTATATTTATATTCATTTAATATATAAAAAAAATAGTTTAAATTAATGCTAATCAATACAGATTATTATTATTATTATTATTATTTTACAATTTTTTAATTAAGTTTTAAAAAAAATTTTGAACTCAAATTTTAAACAATAATTATAATTATAATAATTATAATTAATTACAATAACAATAATTATAATTGTAATAATTAATCATAATTATGAAGAATTTTCAGAAAATTTCATTATTATTATTATTTTATTCAATATTATTGTTATTATTATTATTATTTTTTAATTATTATTATTATTATAATTTCACAATTTTGTAATTAAGTTTTAAAAAAATTTTTGAACTCAAATTTTTAACATTAATTATGAAAAATTTTCAGAAAATTTCATTATTATCATTTTTTATTATTATTATTATAATTTCACAATTTTTTAATCAAGTTTTAAAAAAAATTTTTAACAATAATTATGAAAAATTTTCAGAAAATTTAATTATTATTATTATTATTATCTTTTAGAGTTTTTCACATAGTAGTGAATCTGCTGGTGCAAATAATGCTGGGAATCCCCTTAGAGATGGTCCATAAATGGTGGCGAGTTTTGATCATATACATAGCTGGAGTAGTCGCTGGGTCTCTTGGGACTTCTGTGTCAGACCCAAAAGTCTATCTAGCTGGTGCATCTGGTGGAGTTTACGCTCTAATAACTGCTCACGTTGCGACGATAATAATGAACTGGCGACAAATGGAGTTCGCAGCCCTGCAGCTATGTGTTTTTGTAATCGTGACCTCTGTCGATGTCGGACAGGCTATTTACAAGCGATATGTGCTCAACACCATAGACCATATTGGGTATGTTGCACATTTTGCTGGTGCTATCGCTGGATTACTCGTCGGTATAAATGTTCTTCGTAACCTAGAAGTTCAAACGTGGGAAAAAGCTGTTTGGTGGGCCAGTATTTTTACATATGTCGCTCTTATGACTGCTGCTATCCTCTGGAATATTTTGTACCCTTCTTATTTTCCACCGTCTATATATAATTCGTAGTAATTATTATTATTTATTAATTTCATCGGTATTATTTTTTTACCTGGTTTTTTTTATTTTTTGTACCTTAGTATAAAAGTATCTGCACAAATATACATATATTTATAATAGTAATAATTATTATTAGTTATAATAAAAAAATTTTTTATCTTAAGTTTTAAATGTTTTTTTTTTTTTTTATATAACAGCGATAGAAATTCTTAATTGAGAATTCTGTTCGAGTTTCTTTCCAAGAACTACAGGTATATTTCTTAGTATTTAACACTGAATTCCTGTTACTTCTTATCAATTTCTCAGAATTATATTTTTAAAGTAAAATCATTAATCTATATTATTAAGAGAATAAGAAAAATTTTGTGTCCAGGATAGTCATATGATAAATTGGTTTTTTTTAGTGAAATTTAGTGTCATTGCAAAGGTCTTGATTTGAATTTCTTGACTCGATCTCTAAATACATAATTAAGATATGACCTTGAATCTTTTAACCTATTGATATTTTTAAAGATACAAGCTCATCTCGGCATTACATTCATCGGGACCTTTCATTTGAGTACCCACATCAATTTTTTCATATATTTATATATATATCATATATATGAATATATGAAAAATATATCGAAAATGCATGTGGGTACTCAAATGAAAGCTCTTGATGAGCGTAACATCAGAATGATCTTACATCTTTAAAAATGTCAATAATAAAGAAATTGCCTTGTATCTTGAGACCTATTGACATTTTTAAAGATATAAGCTCACCCCGATTTTACATTCATCAAAACCTTTTATTTGAGTACTCACATCAATTTTTCTTATATTTTTCATATTTATATATATCACATACATGTATATATGAAAAATATATAAAAATGCATGTGAGTACTCAAATGAAAGCTCTTGATGAGTGTAACATCGGGATGAGCTTATATCTTTAAAAACGTCAATAGTTAAAAAAGTAAAGTACAATTTAACAAGAGTCATTATTTAAAAAAGCAAAATTTGATTTATTTATAGTCTATAAATCACGCAAGATTGCTAATTTTAATTAAATTTATGAAAATTAAACCAATAACGATGGATTTTTTTTTAATAATAATTTAAGTTTGTTATAAAAATAAAAAATTTTTAGGACACTAAAATTAGCAGACCCTTAAAAATGTTTGATTTATCTTTAGAAAATTATTTAAAAAAATTTCATTTATATTTTTTAGATCTTTTAAAGAATTTTTCAAATAAATTTTTCTTGCTATAAAAAAATTCTAAAATTTATCAAACGTCTCTAAATTCCATTATCAAATTTTTTACATATAAATTAATATATTTATTCATTAGGGTGTCCGTTATTTACCAAGTTGGCTTAATCCACTTGGGTATCGTCAAAATCATTTGTTTTCGACCCAAAAACAACTTTAAAAAAAGAAATAATTTTTTTCGATGCCATTTAACCCTGCCTAAATCACGATACTTTTTCCATTTAAATAACATGAGAATTTTTCTTTTTTTGGAAATTATTTTTTTACTCGCTCATTATACTCAATAATTCATTAAATATCGTTGATTCTGCTTCCGGTATGGTCACTTTAGATTAAAAAATTCTCAGATAGGGGTCAAAAATTTTTTTTAAACGTTTTAAGTAGGTCCAAAATTATTTTCATCATATTTTTCAATAATTTTGTTTAAGTTACTTACCATTCCATATTTAACGCTAAATTGGTTGTCAAGCATTCACAGCAATTTTTTTGAGGTCTCATGAAAATGATAAAACACAAATAATCATTTATTTCAAGTAGTAACAGTTTTAATTATCAAATAAGTAAAAATAGTTTGATGGCTTTTTTTTATAAATAATCAAATAATTCATAGTGTTCCTTTGACTTATACTTAAATCATCATTCTGTTTAAATACTTCTAATTATAATATTATAATATATATTTTATATATAATATATTATATATTTTTATATAAAGCAAATATAATTAAAATAATCATTAAGTTTTCATTTTTTTTGTCAGGCATTCTTTCGTTGCGTTCGGAAATTCATTTTTGTACTCCTTTATTACCTGGAGAAGATACTGCTTTTGACTCTCATCCTTAGCAAGAACATTGACGTAGTCCTGAGTCAATTGTACAGCTCGTTCGGCTATATCGTTAACTACTTTAATATTTTTAACAATTTCCAATCCTTTTAGGTAATTGTCATTTTCATACCAGGTTTCTACTTCTGTTTCCAAAAAGTCTTCGCTGATACCAAATCTTTTAAAAAAACCTAAAGTATGACAATTGACAAAATAATCAATTTCTTTAGTTTGTAAATTCTTAATATCATTGTCATTGTTAATGAAATATTTCTTTGGACATCCAAATTCATAGGTGGTATCCAATTTCAAAGCTCTGATCATTTTGCGTTTAATATGTACTGATATATTCTCATCAAAAAACGCAAACGCAACAACTTCTGGGCTCAAGTACCAGAAATGATTCGTTATTTTTTTTAAAACTGCTTCAGACACACTTTTATCGACAGTTCTATAAGCATAAACAGTTTTCACAAATTGTAAATCCTGGTTTGGAGCGGCTACAGCCAGAGGTGCTGTAAACCAAAATCGCACATATACGAACACCACGAATAAACAAACGTCTAATAAACTTTTTTCTTCTTCTTTCGTTAGCTCAAAACATCACGAAAAATGTAAATTTTCAATGAGTAAATCGCTTTCGCCATCCAACGAGCGTGGTGGAAAGCACCTGGCTTATAAAAATTTACTTTTTGATGTTCAACGGTACCAAGAAAAATTCGAGACAGTTCAAGAAGTTCTTTGTAATCATCCCGAGGCAAAACAGTGCCTAGTATATTTTTGATGGTGTAATCAGTATCATCGACTTGGCTAATCAATTTTTTATGAATCTTGTTTCCCTCTAATCCGTCTTTAAATTTACTTTTGTCTATTGTACTCCAGCAACTTTGAAATTTTTTGAACAGTGGGACATTTGGTCCAGTAGTACCTGGTAATTTTAGAGTGAAAACACTTGTCAGAACAAGTTCATAAATGTGATGTCGACATGGTAACCACAATAAATCGGTTTCTAGCATTTGTTCCAATAGTACAGCGGCTCCACTATTACAGCCAAGATTAGACGCGGTTGTATCACAACACAATCCTTTGATTGATTCTGTTAAACTCCAATCATGGAGCACACTATAAATTTCCTCGGCTTGAGTAATTCCCTTTCCGTTAGGTAAAGCAGGTACACTTAAGAGTTTTTCAATTCCACTATTACTGATTAATATAGGTACTCTATCCATTTGCTTACAAGATATACTATCTGGTATGAGTTTACCGTCCCAGTGAAGAATCGCTGCAGTAAGCTGTACGTCACCAAATAACTTTTTTATTTTTATAGCTTTCTGTTCTCGAATTTTTTTGCGCTGTTCATTAAAAGATGTTTTGTTTAAAATTAAACTGTTGACGTCAAATTGGAGCGCTTCAGATATTGCGGATATAATCCGGACCGAATTTCTATACGATACTTTACAATTATCCAAAGTGGCTACGACATTTTCAGTCATAATATTAATAACTCCTCTCTCATTTTTCCGATTGTAGTATCGTCCACCTACTTCAAATTCTGATCTTTGACTGGGTGGTGACGAAGAACTAATCATTTCCCCACTGGACATAATTCCTTCTGAACTAATTGAACTTGATGGCAAATAATTATCTAAAAAGAAAATAAATTTTATTTCTCGTTTCTACAGTTAACAAATATTTCAAAGTAAAAATTAATATAAATTTAATACTTGAAATTTTCCTCGTTAACTCAACGTTATCTGACTCGTGTTCTATACTCTGAGATATTGTTTTAATTTCTTGACAAGGTGATAGTTTTATAAAGGAATCATCATTTTCTGAAAGTGGAATCTTTGAAGTTGATGGCTCATTGAAGTGATCAACATTAACAAGTAGATTTTCTGAAATAAAGAATGGATTGAAAATTTAATCAGAAAAAATAAAGTCAATTATTCAATTATTCTATAAAAATTTATGAATCAAATGAATATTTTTTTAACTTACCGGACAACTCGTTTGGACGACTTTGCTGATTGGCCGAAAAATTCAGGTGCAAATTTCTATCTGATCGTTGATCAATCAAAAAATTTTTTATTTCATTGCTGACCATTTCAAAAATTCGACTATGAGCAATATCAAAAAGTTGTTCCAATTTAAGAAAAAACTCTTGCTCTTTTTGATGATTTGATGGTATGCCAGCATTTTTATGTACCATTCTGTACTCTTCGTGCAAACTTTCCAATTTTTTTATACATCGTTTGTCATCTAGTATAAAAATCCCAGCAAACACCCAAAATTTTTTCACTTTTTCAATTGTTATTTTACAGCCTTCATAAACTGTTGTTTTCATGTTCTTAGTGCAATGAAATAATAACCTCAAAACTTGTTTGTTAGTGGGTAATTTATTTCCACTTATATCATTTGTTAGATTATCTAGCAAAAACATTGGTTTTCGTAAATTTAAATCCATGACAAAAATTTTTTTATTCAAAAACTCAAAATTTTTAAGATTAGAAAAAAAGTCTTAAAATATATTACTTTCACTTTTCCTTATTAAGGAAATTAAATTTACAAATTTAATATTTACCAAATATTATATTTTCAAATTGTTATCACGGATATTATGACAACATATTTTAAGTAACTTTATAACATTCTTCAAATGACCACGATAACTAAACTAGAGATACTACGTGAAAATTCAGACCATTATTTATTTTTAATTAGCTACAGTTTGTTGAGCGCCCACGTGACCGATATAGTGCAGCTCATATGTTGGTAATTATCATGTGATGGGTTTTAATTTATGCTAAAAATATTACAATTGGTACTTATGATCTCTCTATTACCTACTTAAACTAAAGTAATGAACAGTTCAAAAATTTTTAATCGAATATCAAATAGTTTTTCTAGTACAAATGGTAAAAGTATGAAAATTATTGATGACTTATGGCTTAAAAGTTTTATGAAACTGATGATAAGAGCGTCTGATAACAAATTTAGCGTTGAATATTGAATGGTAAGTAACTTAAACAAAATTATTGAAAAATATGATGAAAATAATTTTGGACCTACTTAAAACGTTTAAAAAAAATTTTTGACCCCTATCTGAGAATTTTTTAATCTAAAGTGACCATACCGGAAGCAGAATCAACGATATTTAATGAATTATTGAGTATAATGAGCGAGTAAAAAAATAATTTCCAAAAAAAGAAAAATTCCCATGTTATTTAAATGGAAAAAGTATCGTGATTTAGGCAGGATTAAATGGCATCGAAAAAAATTATTTCTTTTTTTAAAGTTGTTTTTGGGTCGAAAACAAATGATTTTGACGATACCCAAGTGGATTAAGCCAACTTGGTAAATAACGGACACCCTATTATTCATATAAATATACAAATATTTTTTTTTTTTATTTACAAAAAATAATGCATTAAAACTACCTTAAATGAATTTTAATAATTTCATTAGTCCGACAATTGATATTGCACTTATCACAACAAAATGAATTATTATTATTATCTACACTCGCCAATAAAGCACTGCGACATACGACATGACTACAAGTGAGTTTATACCCACAAATATCTTTAATTTCACTATTTTTACAACATTTACAAACTATTTCATTATCAGGCTCTTTTTTGACTTCAGCTTGACTCAAAGTTTTTAAATTCGACAGTAAAGCCTTTAAACTATCTCTTAAATTTTCATCAATAATCGTTGATTCATTCAAAATATTATTTTCAGTCGTAGCAGCTTCGCTGCTACTAAAACAATTAATTTCAGTAACTTTCTTTATTTTTTTTGACAACTTAGGCTTTAAACAGCTGAACCGTGAATAACTGGCAATAATAGGTATCCTGTGGCTGGTCTTGATATTTCTTGGTATCGATCCAGTTAAAAAATTAATTTTAGAAGCTGACAAACTTCCTTTTTGACCAGCAGAAATGCTGTTTAAATCCACATCAACCGTAGAATGTCTATGAGGTCCTAACACCCGAGGAATATTGTTGAAATCAGCATGACAATGATTGTCAGTTATAAATTTATCAATTCTACATTTTAATGCTTGAGCGTAAACAGGCCGAAAATTATTACTAAGGCGTAGACCAGTGAATGGATCACTAAGTTGTCTTCCCCAGAGCGCTTCATTTTTTCCGTAGGTCTCCAGAGTACTGTGGTCGATTATTTTACCGCTTGGTAAAATGATTGGTTGGATCATCAGGCTGCAAGTTATTGGATCTAAAAATTCATCAGGTATTTCCAGTGATTTTTTATCACTCCTAAAATAAATTGAAAAAAATATATTAATCTTGAATTAATAGAATTTATTTTTAAAAAATATGAAATCAGCTGACAATTGTCAATTATTTTTATTTTTATAACAAATCAATTATAAAAAAAATGCTTTAAAGAATTTTCACTAATTTATTTTTATCTTCATACATGGAATTTTTTTAATAATAATAACGAGCAACCGTGCAGTCACTATGTAACTGCCGTGATTTGTGAACTATAAATAAATAAAATTTTGATTTATTAAATAATGACAATTGCTCTGTATTTTATTAACTATTGACGTTTTTGAAGATATAAGCTCATCCCGATGTTACACTCATCAAAAGCTTTCATTTGAGTACCCACATGCATTTTTGATATATTTTTCATATATACATATATATGATATATATAAATATATGAAAAATTGATGTGGGTACTCAAATGAAAGGTCTCGATGAGTGTAACCTCAAGATGAGCTTATATCTTTAAAAATGTCAATAGTTCACAAGATATTTGGTAAATTGCAATGTACTTTCTTAACTATTGACCTTTTTAAAGATATAAGCTCATCCTGATGTTACACTCATCAAGAGGTTTCATTTGAATACCCATATGCATTTTTGATATATTTTTCATATATACATATATATGATATATATAAATATATGAAAAATTGATGTGGGTACTCAAATGAAAGGTCTCGATGAGTGTAACTCCAAAATGAGCTTATATCTTTAAAAATGTCAATAATTCCCAAGATACAAGATCATTCCTTAATTATGTATCTAGAGATAGATTATTTTCGAATGCAATTTAAATACTTATTATCATAAATTGATTATTCTCTTAATAATATTGATAATTGTTATTCCACATTTAAAAAATTTAAAAAACAATCAATGCAATTTTTTAGAATGTTTTTTTTTAGTTCTAATTTAATTAATGAAAAAAAATATAAAAAATTGTTAAAAATCAGCTGATTTTACTATCATAAAATTTCTGTCAGTAAACTTCAATGTCTTAAAAAAAAAAAAATACTTACGACTGAGGCTTAATTTCAGCATCCTTAATTTCTACAGGCAGTGACACATTTTTACAACAATTAATTTTATCATTATACTCCGTGAACAATTGATGTATTTTGGAATTAGGTCTGACGTAACCCCAAATTTGAATTCTCTTGACAGCTGCTACAGACTTTTGTGTCTTCATGATTGTCAACTTTAAATTATCCGTGGAATTAACAAATTTATGAGCGAATCCACTGATGTATTTAATAGAAAAATTTCTATAATTAGTTTTAAGTTGATTAACATCACTGTCATTGCAGCAAAAAATAATCCCACTGTCACTGGGCTCCAGAAATCCAACAGCCAACTGATTGATGGTATTGTCTCTTAAATTGACAGAAAGTTTGAATCCAATAGACTTTTGCTCACCGATTGCTGGCCATATTATTACATGGCTTAATTTAATGAGATTTGTAAAATTAAAGTCTATGTTTATTGGTGGATTTATGCATGAATAAACTAAAAAACCTCTGTCGTTCTCAGATATCAAGTTTTCAATGTCATAATCATCACAACTTGGCTTGTCGCATTTAACTTTAGTGTTTAAGTAATTTTTACAAATGTCAATTAACATTTTTACACTATTATTAATTAAAAACAAATTAAAAAGAATTTTTGTGTGTGATTTTGTTGTGATCACAAAATAAATATAAATTTTACTGTTTTGTTCGCCCTCTGCCGGCGCTTAATAAACTAAATATTTAAAAATAAATAAGTAGTTTAAAAAATATTTTTTAAAAAATTGCACTGATAGTTTTTCAAGTTTTTTACAAGTGAAATTTTTTATTTTCTTTTTTTTTTTAACAATTTTTTTCAATAAAAAAATTTTTAGATAGCTAACTTAATTTTCATCTGAAATTACCAGATTCCTGTCTATTTTTTAGATTTTTATAACATTTAAATAATTATAAAAAAATTGAACATATAGAAATTTAAAAAAAAAAATTTATTTTTTATAGTTAATTAATTTGATGATATTTAATAATACTAAAGTTAGATGAAAATTAAATTAACTGACATCTAAAAATTTTGGTAATTGATTTTATAGGAGAATTATTAAAAAAAAAAATCAAAAGAAAAAATTTCACATGAAAAAAATTTTATAAACTACACGTGCAATTTTTAAAAAATATTTTTTTAGTTCTAATTTAATTAATAAGAAAAAATCAAAAATGGTTGAACGTTGGCTAATTTTAGTATCATTAAAGTTAGCCGACGTTTTTATTTTGATTTTTTTTTTAATAACTAAATTAGAACAAAAAAAAATGTTTTTTTAAAATTGCACTTACAGTTTTTTACAAATGAAATTTATTTTTTTATTTTTTTATTGTAATTGATTTGTCTGTTGAATAAAAAATTAAACTAAAAAATAGAAAATAATTTTTTTCCAAATAAATTATGAAAAAAAAAAAAAAATATTACATGTAAAATTTTATAAAGAACTAAAAAATCAATTTGTTAAAAAATAATTTTTTTAAACTAATTATTTGTTGAAAAAAATCAAAAAATGTTCAAGTAATAATTAAATTAAAAAAAAAAAAATAAATTAAATTATCCATCAATATTATAAAATATTTATTTTATTCATTTGAATACAGTAAAAAATTTGTTATTATTTATAACTTTAAACTCGTCACAGATAATTTCAATTATTTTATTTCTATATAGTTTATTTTGTCACTTTTGTAAATAAATTTTTTCGTTCATCACTTAGCTTTAAAAATATCTCTAACTTAATTAAAATATATCTGGAGGTAAACTATCATGTTAACAGTTATTAGTTATATTTTAAATATCAAATAAAAATATATGTGTACGTATGTGAGTATATGTACATACATATGAATAACTACTAATAATTTAGGTAGAGAAATTAGTTACTCCGTCTTATTTTTTGATGTTCCATTACGGACTTCCGGCTGATGACCGGTGATGTAATTCACATGACCATTATCTGAGGGTTTAACATGTCCGTTTTGACTGGGTCGACGTACCGGAAGTAAAGGCAATATAACAATTGCTGCCAGAGCTAGCAAATGTGGAATCAGGTACAATGACCTAAGATTTTAAAATTAATATTAATTATTAATTAACATGAAAATGGAGTTAGCTGACATTTCAAAATTTTTTATTGAAGAAATTTCAATTAAACAATTAAAAAAAAAATTGTTACATGTAAAAAACTTGAAAAACTACAAGTGCAATTTTTTAGAAATATTTTTTTAGTTGTAATTTAATTTAAAAAAAAAATCTAAAATTTTTAGACGTTTGCTAACTTCAATATTATTAATTATCAGTAAGTATATCATTAATTATTAGATTGTATAAAATTGATTCTTACTTATAAACATTAAAACTTGGTATCAATTCTAACAGCACAAAGCTGAATGAGAGGTAGGCCATAGCAATACGAGACGCAGTGAATGTCATCGCATCGTAAAAAAATTTCATTGGTTTGCTTCCAATGAAATAGGGCCGGATAGCCCGGCGGACCTGAAACCAATTAATTATATTTAATAAATTATACAAATATTGATAAAAAAATATGAAAATTAATTTAGCAAATGTTGATTAAATTTTAATAATTTTTTTAACAAATAAATTATGGCAAGAAAAATTAAATAAAAAATTGAAAATGCAATTTTTTTTAAATAAACTTGTTTGTTAAAAAAATTTTAATTAAATTAAAAAAACTGAAACGAGCCTTTTAAAATTATACGCATATTTATAAAGCTGAATATTTTTTAGAGATTTTTCTCAAAATTATTTTTTTAAAATCAGAGAGCAAGATTTATCAATCATAAAATCAGTCTCTAATTTGTACACAATTTTATGAAATATTTTTTTTTTTTTGATAATATTTTACAGTAAAAGAATTTTAAATTTCAATAATTCAAACTGAAGATATCTTGCTCACCGCAAGACACTTATTTTAGACCTCCCGGAGATCTTCTACAGAAGCTAAAAAAAATTATTGTTTAAAAAAACAATTAATCATGTACATAAGGTAAAAGACCCAGTTATCGAAACTTGCAATTTTATTTTAATTAAAACAAACAAATCAACTCTAATAAATTAATAAATACTAACAACCTTGCAGTCACTATGTGACTTCCGTGACTTGTGAACTATAAAAAATTAAAATTTTGCTTTATTAAATAATGACTTTTGTTGAATTTCACTGTATTTTCTTAAATATTAATATTTATAAAGATATAAGCTCACTCCGATATAACACTCATCAAGACCTTTCATTTGAGTACCCACATGTATTTTTATATATTTTTCATATAAAAATGTCAATCGTGCACAAGATACAAGGTCGTTTCTAATTATTTACATTTTTAAAGATATAAACTCATCCCGATGTTATACTCGTCAAGAGCTTTAATTTGAGTACCCACATGCATTTTTGATATATTTTTCATATATACATATATATAATATATATAAATATATGAAAAATTGATGTGGGTACTCAAATGAAAGGTCTCGATGAGTTTAATGTCGGGGTGAGCTTATTTCTTTTAAAATGTCAATATTTCACAAGATATTTGTTAAATTGCACTATACTTTCTTAACTATCAACATTTTTAAAGATATAAGCTCATCCCGACGTTACACTTATCAAGACCTTCCATTTAAGTACCCACACGCATTTTCGATATATTTTTCATATATATATAATATATATAAATATATGAATAATTGATGTGGGTACTCAAATGAAAGGTCTTGATGAGTGTAACGTCGTGATGAGCTTATATCTTTAAAAATGTCGATAGTCCACAAGATACAAGGTCATTTCTTAATTATGTATCTAGAGATAATTTTCGAATACAGTCTAAATATTTATCATAATAAATTGACTATCGGTGAGACTAATATAAAACCTTGAAAAGGCATAAATTCAAATCAAGACCTCTGCAATGACACTAAATTTCACTAAAAAAATCATATGACTATCCTGGACAAAAAATTTTTCTTATCCTCTTAATAATATAGATTATTATTATTATTTTTAAAAATAATTTATTCTGTTTTTTTTTGTTAATCTTTTTAAAATTCTTCCAAAAATAATTTTTATCTCATTTATTTTATTATTATAAAATAGTTCAACTTATAATTACTATTAACTTACCTTTATTAAATCAGCAGCAAGTTTAAGAACACTATTAGCAACGGTCAATTCGTCTTTCTTATGAGGTTTTTGCTCAATTTGTAAATAAAGATTTATTTGCTCAGTAATTAAAATCGAAAGGTTGCGATATTTTTTGTTTATCTTAGTGCCCAAAGTCATGAACCTTAGGATATAAATCCCGAGGGTAAAACTCCAAAGAAGCGCTTCGATGTTGTATCTCGAGTGTAGGCTTTCTAAGTCCTGTGTTTAAGTATTCAATTATAATAATTAGTACAGTAAATATAGAAACATTAATTATATTCAAACATAGTAATCAACTAAATTGACTTACTTTAATTAATTCTAAGCTGACAAACGATAGTAAGAGCAGTGTTACAATAAAGACAGCCGAGACTATTACGTCAACAGACCTCTGAGGTCCTCGTCTCTAAAATAATTAATTTAGTTGTTAATGTTAATTAATATATGTGTTAAGGAGTCACATGGGTTTCATGGTTTCAAAAAATCAATTATTTTTGTCTTATTAAATTCTACAACATCTCTAGAATGTATCTTTAAGACAGTAAAAAGTTTAAATAAAATATTTCATTTTTTCTATTAAAAAAAAAATTGTTGAAAATTGGTCATTTTTTCCCGGAGGAAACCCATGTAACCCCTTAATTAAATTAAAATTTTAATTATTTAATAAATCACCTTCAGATATGACCTAACACTCAGCCAAGTTTTAATATTTCTGACTTTATTTAATCTAAAATGTGGTAAATCAGACTTCCTTGCGCGTCTGGATGATGTTAAATGTGAAAATAATTTAGCGTACAGTAATCTCTGCTTAAAAGTTCTCTCAGCGACGGCGAGGAGAAAAAATAACAAGCAGGAAAGTATTAATCTCTCAAATGACAAAATCAGGACGACGGTTCGTTCCCTAAATTATAAAAAAAAAAAAAAAAACATAATTACAATTTTTTAACTTTCTATGATCGATTGATAAAGTTATCAAATTACCAGAGAGTGCTGCCAAATGAAACATCAATAATCTCTTTTAAAAAATCGACATAAATATTGAAATCAATTAGAGCTAAGTCGACAACAATCCCAGTGGAATTGCCAGTATCGGATCCAAAATGATCGCTGAGTCTTCTCAGCGCTGGTATTACAGCAAGTATCATTGAGAGCACTAGTCCTCCGTAAAAGTAATCCAAGCTCTCGGGCATTGACTCTGCTCGTGCTATTATTGCTGAGCTTATGTCCAAAACCGATAATTCAGCTTTTTTTATTTCTCGTCTTGTCCAAAGTGTGCAAGTCACTAAATATAAAATATAAAATAATATTAGCAATAATTTATAACTTATAATTTATCATCATACAAGTAATTTAAAATATCCAAGTAATAAAAATATTATACCTCGGTCAGATGTCATACAACTTGAGCTCAATAAAATAGAAGGTGGTAGTTCAAATTCCCAAGAGAAAGGATGCTCGACAAACTCACCGTAACTGTAATTACTGTCGCTGTGAAGCTGGGACTCATCAAGATCCGAGCTTAAAAATTAATTTAATTTATTATAAGCAAATTAATAAATTTCAATTAAATAATTGCTTATTATTGTTATTGTTATTATTAGTACCTATAACTACATTCATCGCTGTTAGTAGTAACTCCCATCCATTCAGTAGCAGATGTTGTTACTTCAGTCAATTGATTTGTCCCAGTTTCTTCACACTCACCTTCTTCTTCACTCTCAAATTGCTTTACACTCTCCACTGGTTTTGATGAATTAATATCTTTGCTCTGGAAATTGTCAAACAAACTTTATCAATTTAAATCTTAATTTATTTCTCACAATAGTTTTAATCAATTCAAGTAAATAACTACATACTTCGCATGGTTCTGCTAAATTGTCGTCGTTGGTCCTCGAAACGTCTAAAAAAATATTATTTGTCAATTAATATTATTAAATTAAATTATAATAATAACTAGCAATCTTTCAGTCACTGTGTGACTGCCGTGTACTTGTGAACTATAAATAAATAAAATTTTGCTTTATTAAATCATATTTTTTTGTTAAATTGCACTGTACTTGCTTAAATATTGACGTTTTTGAAGATATAAGCTCATCCCGATGTTACACTCATCAAGAGCTTTCATTTGAGTACCCACATGCATTTTTTATATATTTTTCATATATACATATATGTAATATATATAAATATATGAAAAATTGATGTGGGTACTCAAATGAAAGGTCTCGATGAGTGTAATGTCGGGATGAGCTTATATCTTTAAAAATATCAATAGTTTTCAAGATACAAGGTAATTTCTTAATTATGTATCTAGAGATAGAGCATCTTCGAATGGATTCTAAATAATAATCTAATAAATCAATTACCAAGATTTAAGATACGTGAACTTTCACTAGAATTATTTACAAGCTTCTCATCGCTACTAGAGGAAGAAACAACTTCCGGTTTAATCTCTTCATCTTTGGGAACTTGAGGCCGTAAACTAGCGCGATCATTGTCACTGGAGACATTCCCATTCAAACTTTCAAATCCATCGTCATCCTGATGCACACCATCAACATTTAAATTAACATTCGCAACAGTAACAGCTAGTCTTGATCTATTTAAAACTGACTCCTGAACCGGTGTTGACGTAATCACACGCGACTTGTCTAATTCTTTTGATGAACTCGGAATTTCCTAAAAATAAAAATAATAATTTCTTTAAAAAAATTTAATATTAATATTACCAATAAAAATGCCATTAAAGTCAGCTGTCACTTGATAAGTTTCTAATTTTTTTTAACAAATAAATCTTTTCTGAAAAATTGTATTTATATTTTTTTTAAATTTCCACATGTCAATTTTTTGTTCTCATTTTTTCGCCATAATTTATTTGTTAAAAAAATTATTAAATATCTGCTAAATTAATTCTTATGCAATAAAAAACTTACTCGTCTGGGAGTTGAAGGATCAATACAAACTTTTTTAGCGAATCTCACTGAAGGTGAGACACTGGAATAATTTTTAGCATTGCTTTTATCACAGCAAACAGTCTCCTGCGAAGTCTTGTTAATATCACTTCCTATACGATGGCCACGTTGAAGATTTCTCGGTCTCAGTTTACCAGGCCGGGTCCTTTCGTGGCGAGATCTTCGCGCACGTGACCGGTTTATGCCGGTAGATATTGTAGGGCCTGAATTCGTCGACACTATCTGCGAGTGCACCGTACAGAGAAGGAACATCATCGCCACCGGCATCAGAACTTCAGTCAACGATACAATCTGTAAATAAATAACAAATTGCAAAATCTATTCCGATAAATAATAAAATAAATAAACATATAATTACATCAGAGTCATTGAAGTTAGCACCAGCGATAAAAATAATAATATTAAAAATCTGTAAACTGTAAAGCAAAATAAATAATAAGAATATTCTAGAACTCGTTTGTTGGATCCACCAACTCTTGTAAAAAGGCAGTAAAATTAATCTCTTGACAGCCAACCAAGTCACTGTTATCAGTCCATGCTTTGGCTTGGCTTTTGGGAATGAAGATCCTAAAACAATTAATCAGTATTCAGATTTTATTATTGCTTAATTGAACATGATTAGATAATTTAATTGTTTAGCTACCTCGTACCAAATCCACGTCAATAAATTCTGTTTTTAACTTGGCTGTTCTCATTGGAACATTATTCAACCCGCCAAATATTCTCTGCTCCACTGTTTTTTCCCATTGCTGTTTATCATACGTTCCTATTTTTTTTTGATACCTTTAATAAATAAAATCACTATTAATAATTGTTTAATAACAATAAATAGATGATATGAAAATATGAAAATTAAGTTAGCCGATGTCTAAAAATTAAAAAAATTTTTTTTTATTGAAAAAATCATTACAGAAAAATAAAAAAAAATTTCATTTGTAGAAAACTTGAAAAACTTTAAGTGCAATTTTAAAAAAATATTTTTCTGGTCTAATTTAATTATTAAAAAATTATAAATGTCGGCTAACTTTAGTATTATGAATTAAGTTAGGCGACATTTAAAAATTGAAAAAATTTTTTTTATTGACAAAATGATTAAAAAAAATAAAAAAAAATTTTCACTTGTAAAACACTTTAAAAACTGTAAGTGAAATTTTTTAAAAATATTTTTTTGTTTTATTATTATATAGATGATACTGAAGTTAGCTGACAGCTTAAAATTTTTTTAATTCTCATAACAAATCACTTATAAAATTAAAATTGGTTCTAAAAATTTTCACTGATAATTTTCTTTAATTTTTACATGTGGAATTTTTTTATTAAATTTTTTTCATGACAATTTAATTGTTATAAAATTCTAAAAAAATTTCTAATGTCTGTCAATTTCAGTTTTATATAAATGGTACTGAAATTGTAATGACATTAAAGTTATCAGTTACTTGATCATTTTTTATTTTAATTAAAAAAAAAATTTGCTCCAAAAAATTATTTTTAAAAAATTGGATTTTTTATTTTAAATGTCAATATTTTGGACATAATTTATTTGTTAAAAAAATTTTTTAAATTATAAAATATCTGGTAAATTAATTTTCATTAAATTTAAAGACATTTAATAATTTTTAAAATAGTTCCAACAAATAAATTATGACAGAAAAAATTTATTTAAAAAATTCCACCTTTAAAAATAAAAAAAAAATAAAAATGCAATTTTTTAAAAATAATTTTCTAGTTTATTCTTTATAAAAAATTGTCAAACATCTGATAATTTCAGTGTCATTAACCATGACAGTTAATACTACTAATAATAATAAATATTTACCAATAAATCAAGTCATTCATTCCCATGATTAGTTTAAATTTATAAAAAATTTATCGTTCCACCAAAAATTAACTTGATCTTTAATTAATTAAATATTTAACAAGTAAAGATTGTTAATTAAACACTTAGTTTCCAAAATATACTCCGATAATGAACTGACAGCTGATAAAAATAGTCTTGGTAGTTGATGCAGCAAGAACTTTGGTGGTAGCTTGATAAAATATTCAATATCATAACGCAACAATGACTTTTATTAAAAAAAGAAAAATTAAAAACTAATTATTACAGCTACAGTGATGTAAAAAAACACTAGCGCTTGAACTGCTACTCGTGAAAGCCAGCTGTTCATTCTGATAATTATCAGAATGTATGTTTTGTATTTAATTCCCCACTCTTGAATCCACTGCAATCACCCCCTTCCACTTTTCTTTATTTATTTATTTTTATTTTCTCCGTGCAAATATTAATAAAATTTCGGGGTTAGGTGTCACCTCGCTAAAGACATCTGACGGTAAAAAAATTGTACGCATGCGCGTGTTAAATTTAAAATACACTCCAACTCTCGCGTTTTATAATTCGTTTACTTAATAATTAATTTAATTTACTATCTAGTAATTACTTTAGTTAATTAAATACCGCAAGAAATAATTTATAGAAAAAAGAAGAAATAAAAAAAAGAAGAAATTTAATATTTATTGTTTTAAAAAGTGATTTTTTAATTAATAAAAAATGAGATGCTGATCATCAAAGTAAAAAATTGGAACTGTCATTGTGAGAACACTGAAGTTGACTGACATAATTTTTTTTAGAATTTTGGAGCAATTAAATTTTTAATGACAATAAAGTCAGCCCTTATCAATTTTTTAATTTT